CCCCCCCCCTCAATTTTTACATAAGAATAATAATAATTTTACACGTTTTTACCGCAAGAGTCACACACGTGCATTTGTGCAAACGCGAATTGAAAATTTTAACGGAAAAAAAAAATTTAGACTTGAAATAATTAGCCGAGGCAAAAAAAAAAAAAAATAATAATAAATTAAACTCAGGTAAAAATTATTATTATTATTTTTTTTTTTTTTTACTTTAACTCAGGATTATGAGTTGGGAAAAAAAAAAAAAGAAAATTATTTGGGTCATTAAGTCCAAGAGGGAAAAACGGTATCCGTAACTCTGGTTACAACAATAATTATTGCAATAATAAATTTACGCGCGAGAAACAGAATTTTATGATTAATAATATTATTTTTATTATTATTATTATCATTATCATCATCATCGGTGCCATAATAGGTTTCGCAGTTGGCGCGACAAAAAAAAATTTTTTTTTTTTTATTTTATCGCCCGTTTAAATTTTTTTTTTTTTTTTTTTTATGTTTTTACTTTTTTTTTTTTATTTAGAGTTTTCTGCTATCGTTTATGATTTTTTTTTTTTTTTGTTTTCAGTTCCTTCTGGAAAATAAAAAGGGGGGGAAGGGAATTTTTAAAAAAATTTTCTTTTGTTTGTGACCTTAATTTTAAAAGAGAAAATTGAATTTTCTTTAGAAAATTTTGACTTACGACCAACAACAATTAAAAACTTGAGTTTTTCATTTTATGTGAAAAACTCAGACTTCCTATTTTCAAAACGTCATCTTTTCAATTTTTTTTTTTTTTTTTTTTTTTTTTTTACAAGAAAATGCTATTTTTTTTACCTCTTTAACATTCTACTCCCCTCCCCCTCTCCCCAAAAAAATAAAAAATAATAAAGAAAGAAACTTTGGCAAACCATAGATTGACATTTTTTCTTTTTTACTTACTCTATGGTTTATATTTAAAATTGGAGGTGACGCCATTTTGAAATAGCAAAGCAATTTTCTTTAAGAGTTTATTTTTTAATAAAAAATGATAATAATAATATTTAATAATAATTACAATTGTTAAATTAGAGTTAATAAATTCAACAATTGTTAAATAAAATAAAATTTATGAAGATGTAAAAGAAACCATATTAAAAATAATCGATTTGTAAAATGGCGGTAAATAAATAAATAATATTAAGAATGCATGAAAATAAAAGTGTAAAAAGAAAAAAGAAAAAAAGTCAGTTGGTGCCACGACGTAACAGGAGAAAAACTTAAAAAGAGTTTTTGAAAAAAAAAAAGAAAACACATTAAATTAGATGGTTGAACGTTGATGAAGAAAATCGGATGTAGAATCCGTGTGAAACAATTTAACCTTTTGAACTCTTTTTGTATAGGGTTTAAAGTAGAAAATTAAGAGGTCAAATGAGTCGGTCGTGTAAATTGTCGAATTAAACGTTTAAAAAATATTTTACCCGAAATGTATATAGCATTTACATGACATTTGACGTGACACAACAAATTGTTTATCATTATTATCATTATAAAATTTCAAAAATTTTGCTTTTTTATTTTTTAATTTGTTTTTCATTAAAAAATTATTATTATTATAGAAAAATAATTAAATAATAATAATGATTGAAAATTTAAAATACTTTTTTACACGTTTTCAATTTAAAATTATAAATTTTCCGTTCAACTTTTCTTTCTTTCTTTTGGTTGTTGTTTTTGTTGTTGTCGTTGTTGTTGTTAAAATATATATAATTTATACGTTAATAATTATTATTAACTTTTAATTTTACGATTTTGTTAAACCCGAAAAATTCATAACAATTTCATAAAAGTTTTCCGAAAAAAAAAAAAAAAAAAAAAATTTTTACACTTGGGTAACTGCACTCTCTACTAACTACTACTTCCGACTAAAAATTTTCACTTTTCTTTGTCAAATGTTTTTATTACGCATATTACACTTTATTATTATTATTATTGTTGTTGTTTGTTATTTGAAAAAAAAAAAAATTTTGTTTAATAATAATAATAATGAGAATCTCGTTATAAAATTTGGTTGGTGTCGTTCAAATAATTGACTAAATTTTTTTTTTTTTATTTGATTTATTATTGTTGTTGTTGTTTGTTGTTTGTTGTTGTTGTTATATTTTCGTTTTGATTAAAATTTTATTTTCTTTTATTTTATTGTAAGAAAAATAAAAATGACGTCAGAGCGAACGAGGGAAAAGAAAAAATTGTCAATTTATAAAATTCTTTAAATTTTTTTTTTTTTTTTTTTTAATTATTTTTCCACGTTTCAACTCATTCAACCCGAGAGAAAAAAAAAAGGGAACGAAAGTGTTGAAAAATTTTTTTTTATAATTAAATAATAATAATAATAATAATTTTGACGCTTTTGAAAAGGGAAAAAGAAAAAAGAAGAGGAGGAAAAAAGGGAAGGTGGGTTGTTTTTCGTCGTAAAAATGTCGAAAGAAAGACGTTCGTTGAAAAAAAATACATCGTCGTGCTTTGAAAAATTGAGTTACGTTTAAGAAAAATAATAATAATAATGATGATAATGATGATGATAATTAAAATTAGTTGACTTTTGTCGTAGTCGTCGTCGTCATCGTCGTCATCGTCGTATTTGTCTTGAAGTTTTTGACGCCAATTTGAACATCTTAAAGGATTTGACTAATTCAAATTAAAACTAATCTCGCCTCGTTACGCTGTAAACAAATTTTAACGAAATTTTGTGTATATAATTAAATTTTATCTTTCTTTATTCATTTTATTTAATATTAAAATAAAAGCATTAAAGGTGGTAGTACTGGGGGGCCAGGGAGCCAGGGGCGGCGGAACGATAGTAGTAGTACGGCAGTGAGCCATCGAATTTTATTTTCAATAAGGGAAGGAAAGGGAAACCCCTAAAAATCTTTTTAGAGCCGCCGTCAAAAAATTTATTTCATTATTATTATTATTATTATCATCATTATTTTTTCTTCTTCCACTTCTTATTTTTCTTCTCCGTAATATAATCGAATCGAAATTTAATTACAATTTAATTACGTTTTTATTTTTAAATGAACGTCGACGACGTTAAAGTTTTTCTTTTTTTTAACGGTATATAAACGGAGGGAAGGGGGGGAACGACGTATGATTTTATTTGTTTTTATTAATGTTGTTAATAATAATAATAATAAATTAGTTTAATTTAGTAAATTTAAAAGGTTTTATTATTATTATTATTACTATCAACGTAAATTAAATTTTGAAAAATAATAATAAAATCTTTTTAAAAAAAAAAGAAATTTTTTTTTTTTTTTGTTTTGTTTTGTTGGCAATTATAATTTAATTAATGGAGGGAATAATAATTTTTTTTTTTTTTAGTTACGTCCCAAAAATTAATTATTATTTTTCACGTTTAATTTATTGATTTATGTGAAATTATTATTATTACTATTTGAATTAAAATTTTGTTGGAAAATTTGGTCGTAGGGAATGGACGTATACGCGTGTACACCACCGTAATCCTTTCTTAAACACGTGTTTGATTGTTTTCAGGGTCAAATAGTGACGCATAACGTGTCGTCAGGTGTCATATTAAGCACTACTAGTTTGGTACTTCAGGGTGTTACCAGACACGATTCCGGAAGGTATTCATGTTTGGCGGCTAATGTCAGAGGTGAAACGATGAGCGATCCCGTATCGCTTAGGGTTCAATGTAAGTAATAATAATTTTTGTAAAAATAAATTCCATTATTATTATTATTATTATTATACGTTAAACCCAAGCAAAAAAAAAAAAAAAATTTTTTTTGTATTTATTTTTAATTTACGTTTTAAAAAAAATTTTTTTTAATTGTTTATTTTGTTAGAAAATTAAATTAAATGAAATCATGACGGAGAAGAAGACGGTTGAAGCGTTAAAAAAAGTCCTCCCCTCCCCCCCCGCGTTTCCCGGTCAGAAAAACATTTTTCATTTTTTTTTTCTCCCCTCCCCTTTTATTAACTTTATGTATAACCTCTTAGCGCGAAATGCTCGTTTTAGTCTTGAACGTAGTACGTAAACGTTGTCTTTTATAATTATTATTATTATTTCTTGAAAGAAATCCAAAAACCATGACGTCATTAAATATATTATTTTATATATAAGGTGAATTTTTTTTTTTTTTTATTATTAAATGGGGAGAAAGAGGGTCCAAATATTTTTTGAGAGTAGTTTTCGCTTAACGGAAATCGTTTGAAAAGATGATCGTTAGCGCATTTCCTTTATTACCCCCCCCCTTCCATAATAAATTAAAATTATTTGGTTTGTAAACAATGCTTTGGAAAAAGAGAGGAAAATTTTCCACGATGATGATGATGATGATGATGATGATGATGAGGAAGAAGAGAGATTGCGTAGTGGTGGCCAAACGTGGAAATTATTATTATTACTTTTAGAAAATGGGGTAAAAGAAAAGAAAAGGAGTGAAGGGACGAATACGTGGGAGGGGAGGGGAAAGGGAAAATATTCAAATGTTCCCTTAATGACTAAATACTATATATATATATATATTCTATTGTTTTTGGCGTACAATAATCTTTCTTCTTCCATTTTACTAAATTTTCAAATTATTGAATCAAAAAATTTTCAAATTGTTTTCATAACATTAGTTATTTTCCACGAAAGAGAGAAAGAGAGAGAAAGAGAAAACCATTTTCGATTAAAATATATAATTGGCGTTTTTGATTATGATAATAATAATAATAAAATCGAATTGTTATTAATAATAATATTTCTATTGAAATGGAGAGAAAAAAAAAAAAGAAGAAAAAAATTTCTCTCTCGTTTTTAACAATTGTAAATTTCTAATAAAATTATTTGTTCTATGATTCCTTTAAGTAATAATAATAATAGTAATAATAATAATAATTTTTTAAAAAGGGAGCCCTCCCTCCCCTCAATATTGATAACAAATCCTTGATTATTTCAATTGGAATTTTTATTATAGTAGTTTTAATATAATTAAATTTAAAAAAAATTTTTTTTTTTTGCACGGGGGTAGCGGGAGCGGGGGGGCGGGGGGAAATGACGTAACGCAAAAAAAAAGAAACGAGTCAATATTTATATATAAATATAAATATTTCAAAGCATTATTTATAAAATGTACGCAAATAAATTTTTATTGCTGTCAAAAAATGAAAGTAAAAAATTTTCCGGAAAAAATAAAAAAAATGTGTTTAATATATATAAAGTGTAGTAATTTTTTTTTCTTTTCTTTATTTTTTAAAAGAGAAAAAAAATATAAATAAATAAATAAATTTTTCCTAGTTTTTGATAATAATAATAATAATAAAAATAAAACAAGGCAGTTGGAAAAAGGTTTGTTTTTCCCAATAGGAAAATATTTAACAAAACATATTCCCGTAACGCTAATTTTTATAGGCTTTTATTTAATATAATAATAATAATTATTATTATTATTACAAAACATTTACATACAAACACCACTTCGTATTAAATACACTATAATTAATATTATTATTATTATTATTATTATTTAATTAAATTAAAAAATTAATTTAATATTTTCGAAGGAAAAAAAAGAAAAAAATATAAACGTAATAAAAATATTTTATTAAATTTTAAACGTTATTTCATAAATGTTTGTTTGTTTGTTTGTTTGTTTTGAAATATTTTGAGAAAAATGATTATTAGATTTTTAAGTTTTTTATTAAGGACGGTTTATCAAAAAAAAAAAGAAAATGAAAGGAAAAATTGTTTAATGGTGGATTGATTACATGAAAACTAACTGTCTGTCTGTCTTCTGTTGTGTTGCCTTTGGTCAAAAAGGAAAAGTTTACAAGAAACCCGACAAGAAGAATCTGTTGTCGGTTCCCACAGTTTCATTCATTGGATATTCAATTTTTGGATACAAAACTTATAAATTAGTCAAGTTTTAAAAAGAAAAAACTTTTTTTTTTTTTTTCTACTACAACAATCGCTTCTTAGGCTCTTAAAACAAAAAGAACCCAAAATATGTAGAAGAAGAAGAAGAAAATTTTTTTTTTCTTTTTGGCTGGTTTCCACGACTCTTTATCATTTCCTATACACCCCTCACTCCCCTTCAACCACCACCAACTCAATCCCTAATTTATTTTCTCTTTCTACAATCGAATTTTGAGGATCCTAATGAAAGATTCATAATGATGGATAGTTTATATTCTATTGTTCTTACTTCCTTATTGTTTCACCCTTAACGCTATTGTTTTAAGAACCCAAAATGTTTTAATGATTGCATTCTTTTCATTTATCTCCCTCTCTCTCTCTCTCATTTTCTCTCTCTCTCTCTCTCTCTCTCTACGTTATTTTTTTATATACCTGAACGCTTTCAATCTGGTCTTAATGTTTCAAATAATTACTTTAAAATAAGTTTTAATAATAAAATCCATAAGGTTTTGAAAAATATATATATATATATTATATATTTTTTTTTCTTAACTTTTTTTTTTAACTTTTTTCTTAACAATCTTTATATTTGTTTTGTTATATCGAATTTAATAAATAACATAATGTTTAATATCTGCGGTAAAAGTTAAGGGAAAATTGGTATATAGTAAACTATTTATTTATTTATTTATTGTGGATTGGGTGGGGGGAATAAGGAAGGATAAATTTCAACATTTCCCAACTGCTGTTTTTTTTTTTTTTTTTTTTTTTTGAAAGCTCCCGCTTTCGCCGCCTTTTTTCACTCTCTCTCTCTCTCTCTTTTGTCGAAATAGTTTCTTGTCATGCATCTTAGCGTGACTTTGATATACACGTCTGGCATTCATCTACACATAAATTTCACTTGGTTATGATGTGAAAAACATTTATTATTACTTTCATCGTTTTTTTTTTTTTTTTTATATAACGTACCTAGATTTTCCAATAAAAATTATTATTATTATTATTATTGTCTTTTAAATCAAATTTTTTATTTTCGAAAAGGGAAAAAAATAAATACACGGGGTATTTAATATAACGTTTTATATTTAACTGTGAAATCTTTTTGAAAAAGATTGGAAAATGTCATTTACCATCAGAGTTTCATATATATATATCACATTTAAAAACTTTAATAATTAAAGTTTGTTCGTAAAGTTAAAATCTGTTTTTAATCTGCTTAATAATAATAATAATACCTTATAAATGCAGGGCGGCCGGAAAATGCTAAAATTTTCATCATCAACTCAAGTACCCACGTGGTAAATTTATTAAACAATAAAAAAATTCGGTCATCGATTTAAAAAAAAAATCTTACGTGATCGTCTTTTTTAATCCCCTCCCCCTCCCCAAAAAAAAGGGTATTATTTATATTATTGAGATATATTATAATGTGAAACGATTAAAACGAATAAAAGTAATAAATATATATATGTACATAACTATGTAAACGAAATTCTTTTGTTTTGAGGGTTTCAAATGATTTTACCACCATGAGTTTTTAAAAGTTTTTAAAATCTTTAACTCTCCTTTCTCTCTCTCTCTTTCTATCGTTTCCTTTTCCATATTTCTTACTTACTCTCTCTCTCTCTTTCTCTTTCTTTTTTGTGTAATTTATTGAAGTCGTTTAGAAATCGTTTTAAAACTTGGATTTTGAGTTTAGGGGGACCAATTTAAGTAAACTTTTTGCATCGGTTGATTTAGTGTTCTTAGAAATTTACTACTACTACTACTACTACTACTATACCAATCTTTTCTGTCGCAGATCGTTAACCTAGTTTATATCTTTTTGTTTTTGTTGCACTTTTTTATTTATTTTTTTTTTTAATATTTATTACAATTTTCCGAATTGAATTTTAAATAAATTTTTTTTTTTTAGATGCGCCAGTTTGTGTAAGCGAAGATGTTGTCATTGTCGGAGCGTCCCTAGACGAAGCTGTTAAGGTTCGATGTCAAGTGAGTGCAGATCCAACCGATGTGAATTTCGTTTGGCAATTCAATAACAGCGGAGAAAATATTGAAGCAGCCCCTACGACTTTCGGTACGGCCAACGGAAGCACGAGTCAATTAATGTACACTCCCCTAATCGAAAGAGACTACGGAACATTGACTTGTTGGGGTAGAAATAATATTGGACGTCAATCCGAACCCTGCGTTTTTCAAGTTGTTCCAGCAGCATATCCCGGAGCGTTGAGAAATTGTTCTCTCAAAACGGCCTCGAATATCACACAGGACGTTCTCGAAGTCGAATGCATTCCTGGTTACGATGGAGGCATGACACAGCATTTCGTGTTGGAAGCCTACGAATCTCGAACGATGAGACTTCGATTGAATTTATCTTCAGACGTGCCAACGTTTCGGATAGATCTTTCTGATTTGTTACCCACATCGGCATACACGCCCATGCTTCACGTCGTCCTTTACGCCCAAAATCAAAAGGGTCGAAGCGAAGCATTCGTGCTTGAAGATATTGCGTTAAAAGATGCGGAAAAACGGACGGAATCCGTTTTGGGCTCTACATCGGGTCTCACCGCCGTACCCTTAACTGCGTTACTGTGCGGATTAGCAATAGTGATCAGCTTAGCTATTTTATTCATAATCGTGTTAACGGCTCGAAAAAGAAGACAATCGAACAGTGGCTATCCTCGGTCTACATCCGATGTTTCTAAACAAAAAAATTCTTTATTAGAAATTAATGACAGTGATAGGCGTTATGTTGTTTCTTATATGTTAAAAACGCCTGCGGACTGTAAACCTGATCATCAAGAAAGGCAACCTGATATTCTTAATGCCCCGAGAGGTAAAAAAAAAAAAAAAAAAGAAAAGTATACATGTCAAAAAGTTTCAGTTATTCGAAACTTATTCCTTTAGGAAAATTATGAAATTTGAATTTTTTTTAAATAAAATTTTTAATTTTAAGGTACGGCAGACGTGGTCTCGGTTGACTACTCACCTAAAAGGCCGGACGACAATTTTTTCAATAGAAATCAAACAGATATTGAAGACTGCAATAGAAATCCATCGATTTCTTCTAGTCACGTGAGTATTCACCCCCAACGTTTTTTTTTTTTTAATTTCGAAAACCTTTTTTTTTTTTAATTCCGTGTGTAATTTATTTATTTTCTTTTATAGGTGAGTTCATTTTCATCAGAATTGAATTCAAATTTATCTGTTAAATCCGACGGTACTCTAAGACAAAATAAAAAAAATGTCGTGTCGAGAAATTCTCCATTAGCCGCCTATCAAAACGTTGACGGAATCATGTTTCCAGGAGGTTCAAGACAAAATCCTCCTCCTCCTCCTCCTCCTACTTCTGCTTCTCCTTCAGAAGCGACAACTTTAACACGTTCTAATCGTAATCAAAGCAAAACTCCCACAACAAAAACTTCCGTTAATGGCGAATTGGAGCAAAGGGATAATTCATTAGGTTCAATACCTGGACCCGAAAGTTGCGTATGAAAAATAATATAAAACGAAATAGGAAATTATTTTATTTTTTAAAAACAAAAAAAAATGATACAATGTTTTTCTTTCACCTTCGACATAAAAAAATTTTAAACGATTTTCTTTTTTTAAAGCACGAAACAAAAAAAAAAAAAAAATTTAGCTAGCCACAGACAGATGATATAATATAATAATAATTTTATTTTGTGTATCCATCAGATCAAAATATTAAAATTAAATAATTTTTAAATGTACTTTTATAACTATATCAAAAGGTGAAAGGTGAAAAGAAATTCTTTGTAAAAATAAAAAAAATAAATAAAGTTTTATTCATAATTAAAAAAAAAAAAAAAAAAAAAAAGTAAAATCTTGTTAGCTGTGAAATGTGATGACTGTATTTTTATGAAATAAACCATTAAGAAAATAATAATAATAATAATAATAACATCATTTTGTTACCTGTAATTTTGCTTTTTTTTTATTAAAATTTTACCATTATAAAAAAATGTAAATGTTATTAAATTGAGGGGAAATGATTTAATAAAATCAACTCAACAATACAACTCAAATAAAAAACGACTAAAACAAATTTTATTTTAGGTTAAAATCAATAAAATTTTATTTATTTTCCTTACGTATTTTAACGTAACAATTAATTATTGATAAATTTTGTCCGTTATAAAAATTTTTTCAATGCGCGTTTGAGCCTATCGCGAATAATAACGGTAATTTTTTTTTTATTTTTATTGAATAATACATAAATTTAACAAAAGGATTTAATTTCCCCGCTAATGGAAAAGTCAATTTAATCAAACATAAGTGGTTTTTTAAGTGGACATTTTAAGTAAACTATTATCCGATCAATTATATTTAAAAGAAAATTCTTTATATTTGGAAAATAACGGTAGAAAGAAAATAAATTTGTTTTTAAAAAAAAAAAAACCCGCCATTTTTCTTCTTACTCTATGATATTTCGTTTTACGAATTTTAAGTTGGTAGCGTTAAAATGTGGGTGGAATCAGTTAAAGTATTGAGCAAGTGTCAACACAAAATGTCTGTCGTACAGTGTTTTAAATTATTCAATTATTAATTTTTTTTTTTTTTTTTTTTTAGTTTTTAGTTTTTATTTTTAATTAAATAATAGATATGTAGATCGTTAAAAAAAAAAAAAAACCGTAATAAAAAGAAAAAAAATGTTCAGTAAAAAATCACATGCAGATGTTAAAAAATCAACACAAAAATTTTTAGATTCTAAAAAAGATACAGCAACTCGTTTGAAACACCTAAGGATCGTCATAGGTGAGCTGGCTTATTTATTACATTCGATACCAGATTATTTTTATTTATTTTATTTATTTTTAACAAAATTTAATTTTTTTTTGTTACGAATTTTTATTTATTTTTTTTTTTTAAATATAATTTTATATTAATTAGTCATAATCCTTTAAAAATAAAAAAATACTTTCAGATTTTCTTTATCAGTTTTTTTTTTTTTTTACCACCAAGGTTTTTGTGCAATTTTTTTTTTTTTTTGTAATTTACATAACATGCTTATAATTTTTTTTGTTTGATCAAAATATCAAATTTACATTTTACATTAATTAATAAAATAAATATTGATTTACCTAAATATTTTAATAATGATTAAGAAAATTTAAAAAAAAAAAAAAAAAAAAAAGTTGAATCGAAATTTAATTGCTGCCTTCGTTTTTTATTATTTAGATCATGTCGAGGGAGAAGAAGCTTCAACATTTTTCGAAACACATTCCACATTTATTTATTACTTACTCTGTGATGTTATTACAGCTGCAGAAGCCAGCAGCAAGCAAAGAGGTAAGAAAAATATTTAAAATATTTTTTTAAATTATTTACAATTGATATTTTAGATATAAGTAACTCTATTTCAATATTATTATTATTATTATTATTATTGATTATGGTATCAATAATAATCATTATTCTCTTACTATTGTATTACTTTAAATCCTTCTTTTAAACTTCAAGCTTGAGTAATTATTCAATTGTTGAATTTTAAAACTTCCTGTCTAAAGTTTATTTAAGTTTTCCAACTTGGATTAATATCTAATATTTAATCAATTTATTTGTACTTTACAAAAAAAAGGTTGATTTTATAATTGATTATTATAAAATTTTTTTACAAATGTGTTTGATATTTATTTAAATTTCTATAATATTTTTTTTTTTAAAACTCAAAAACTCTACTGAAACAATTATCGAATTGATACCTTTTTCCAATTTTACTCCAGTCTTACTTTTAATTACTTACTTATTTTTTTTCTACTATATTTTCCAGATCTTACTTTTCACTTGGGTAAGTTTATTTCATTATTATTAAAACTAATTTTTAAATTTACCAAAATAACATCGAAATTTATATCTTTTGCTTTTCTTTTCGAAAAAATATTTTACAAATTCGTCTGCAATGAAATCGTGTATCAAAAAAAACAAAAGAAAAACAAGTTAAATTATCTTCAAAAGCTTTTTTGTTTCTTCTTATTTAATTTAATAAAAAAATATTAAACTGATTTGTTTTTATTATACGAATAGTTTTATTAATATTATTACAAAACATCGAATGACATTTTTTTTTTCTGTAACGCTTGCAATTTTATTTAAATCATTTTAAAATTATTAGATTTGCTTATCATGTACTTATTAATTTACATCATCTGTAATTATCATTATTATTGTAATTATTTAATTTTTGTATAATTAAAATTTCAGTTCACAAAGCACATAGAGAAGAACTTGATTCAGCTTTAATTATATTAGAAAAATTATTGTTGAACTTACCGGATTTATTAGGTCGAGGATGGCAACAGCATGCTTTATTAAGAACTCTATGCAAATTACTTTATCCCGGAAATTCTTTGAAACTCAGGAAGGACGCAGTAAGGTATGAATAAAAAAAAAAAAAAAATTTTTTTTTGTTTTTTTTTCTTATTGTGCCTTTTTTTATATTGAGAAAATTTTTTTTTTTTAATTAAAATTACAGGTATTTTATAATTTGGTATCAAGCACTGGGTGAAAATGCTCCAAAGGAAGTTGATGCTGTGTTTGCAACCCTTGTACCTGGTTTTCCATCTCCCAAACCGGGATTTGGAATTCCTTCTTCACCATTACCATCGACTAAAGTTTCACCAACTGCTTCAGTTTTTCATGATTCTGCACCTGGTAACTACTCTACTATTTTTGAGTTTTCGAGTAATTTAAAAAAAAAACTGTTTGATTGAAAATACTTTATGTAGGTCCACTTGGAGATTTTCAACCTGTTTTACCCCCTCAAAGCGGTGAAAAGCCATTAGATGAACCGATGAGGTATTTTCTTGATGTTTTACTTGACGCCATGGTATCTCAAGTAAGTTATTATTCGCTTATTAGAACAATTTAAAAAAAAAAAAATTTCTGAAAAAAAAAAAAATTAATACAATAAATTTAACTGTAATTTTTTTTTGCTTTAAAGGCATATTAAATTAACTTCACGCTTTTAATGCAAGCTTATTTTTAATTGTTAAGGTTAATCGAATTGAATGGAAGGAAAAACTATGCAAATCCCATAAAAGTTTTTCGTTTTTATTGGAGAGATTTAAGAAATATTATTTACCTCACATTTTTCCATATTGGAATTCTCATACTAATTTGTATCCTCCATCATTAGGTATTATATATTTACACCTTTAATTTAATTTAATAAATTTTTTTTATTCTTCTTCTTATTCTTTCATAATCGCTTTTAAAAAAAATTTTTTATTTTTTTAGATTTGCCGCATTTGAGACGATCAACGGATTCTGTTGTGGATGTGGATTCAAAAGATCCCATTTTATCTTGCAGAGTAGCAGTTATTAAATGGGTTGCCAGTTTTACTCATATAACGAAAAAAGATCAAAACAATTTACCTCACTCGAACAGGTAATGTTCAATATTTTTTTTTTTTTTTTTTTTTTAATTGTGAATTTAAAAATAAAAAAAAAAAAAAACTTAATTTTTTATAAAAAAAAAAAAAAAATTCGACAGTATAACTCCGGACACGGAACATTCGTCGGGAATTGGAGATTTTCGACGAGTGAGTATTAATCAAGGGCCTTTAGTACCTAGTCCGAATGCAGATCAACTGACTCCATTTCATTCGCTAACGGATTCGGGAACCGAAATCGAAACGGGAACAATCGTCCAAGAAGTTTTTTTCAGTACAAGAGAAAATGTTTGCTTCGTATTGGAAGTTTATCATCAGGCTTTCCTTTTACCATTTACTCATGCTCATGCTATACGTAGAGCCATATCCGTTTACAAAGATTGGATACAAATGAATGTAGGATTTGTTTTTTATTTTTAAATTTGTTTTTTTTATCCGTAAAGGGATTTTGTTGATACCCCCCCCTCCTTTTTTTGTTTCAGGTGCCTGAACTACCTCCTTTTATTTTAGAACCCATAGAAAGTTTAGATGGCAATGAAACGGAATTACGCGTTAGACTACGAAACGATTCTTATTTAAGTGCAGTTCATAAAGATTACTTATTGACGCGAGCTGGATTGCAGGTACTTTAATACGATTCGAATTCAGGTCCAAATGGCTTCTCCATTTTTCATAAAGATTTTATAATCTTTAAATTATTTTCAGAGTACTTTACAACTATTCGTAACCCACGCGGCGAGTGTCTTTTTACTCCAAGTGAAAAATCCTAGTTTATTGGAAGAACAAGTGGATACTTGTAAAAGAGTACTTAATATATATAGATATATGGTTATGCAAAGTAGAATGGAATTAAAAACCTGGTACTTTATTTATTTATTTATTTTTTAAACAAAAAATATAATTTTTATTTTTCTATTTAAATTAATATTGTTTACAGGGAGCAACTTCTTACAGTTTTACTCCATATAACGAGATCGGTATTGACTAGAACGGTTCCTAAACGAAAAGAGGAAACATTAGGTGGTAAATTAGCTCAGGCAATATTTCAAGTAAATTGAAAACATTTTTTTTATTTATATATAATAATTGTTTAAATTAATATATAAATTGTTAAAAGAGAATATATCCTTTTAAATTTTAGACTCTGATTGTTACTTGGATCAAGGCAAATTTAAACGTGATAATTTCCACTGCTCTCTGGGATGAATTTTTGTCTCTTTTAACTTCTTTGACGCAATGGGAAGAACTCATTAAAGAATGGGCTGTAAGTAGTATATTTGGTTTAAAAAAAAAAAAAAAAGAATAAATGTTTTACGTAATGTTAACAATATTAATTTTTTTTTTATTAGAAAACATTAGAAACTCTTACGAGGGTTTTGGCGAGACACGTATACGGTTTGGATTTAACAGATCTTCCTTTGGATAGATTATCCGAACAGCAAGCTAAAAAACGACGAGGAATAAAGAGCACTCAGCCGGATGGACCTAAACCTTTTCCCGGAAGAAAAGGAAGTACGAAGTTATTGAAAAATCAACAAAGTTCTTTACCTGAAACTTCGACCACTCCAGGTAATTATCACGTTTGAAAATTCTTTTTTTTTAATTACGCCGATAACCAAGCAAAAAAAAAAAAATCAAATGAATTTATATTATATTTCAAGATACGAGCGGATCATTTCAATTTTGTTCGGTTCGAAAGAGAGTAGACAGTCTTAGCGATTATCAATCTCAGGTGACAACCGTTGTGAGGAGTTCGAGTGAAGGAAATCTGACAAATGTCGGACGCAAGCAACTAAAGCGGCAAAGTCAAAGTACAAATAAAAGTAATATAATCATTCCAAGTAAGTTTATTAAAAAAAAAAAAAAAAAAAAAGGAAAATGGTAGTTTCTTTCCATGTTTCATCTATTTATTTATTTTTATTTTTTATTTTTAAATAAAGTTTTACCGGTGTCGGTCGAATCTGAGGTTAATAAATTATTAAGGGGAGCTAGTTTTCCTTCTACGACCATAAAACAACCGTGGTTAAGAAAATGGCGAAGTGCCGATTCTTTAAGGCACGAAGACAGTCCCATTGTTACTCGTTCTCCTTCTCCAGCACCTTCATCTGGAGTTGAAACGAGTTCGATCAAAGATTCTCCAATGCCTTTAGATTTTGTTACAACGGATTCTTCGAGTCCAGGTTATTTACTTATTAATTTTTTTTTCAACGCTTAAAAATTTTTACGCATATTTTTCACGGTGAATAAATTTACAGAATGTAATGGCAACGAAGGGCGGAGCGTCATGGCGGGGGGAACCATTACAGGTTGGCTACCTGATGTGGCTGTCGTACTCTGGAAAAGAATGTTAGGGGCTTTAGGAAATATTAATAAAATACAGGATCCTTCTCTCCATGCCCAAGTTTTTGATCATTTGATCGATCTATGGGATACTTTAGCTAAAATACGTGCGAATCAAGGTGTGCCGGAAGAAGGAACAACGCCTCCTCCTCCCGTTTTGACTCCTCCATTAACTTTATTTGCTCCTTGGTGTTTCGAGGTCGGTCATGAATATACAAATAAGTTATTGAAAACTTAAAAAAATTTTTTTCAAAAGTTTTTTTTTATATTATTATAGGCTTTACAATTGCCAGAGAATTATCAACGAGGAAAGCTCAGTGCTTACCGCCTGTTATGTCGAATGACTTTAGGTGCAGAATTATGGACTCTTTCTCAATCATTTTTAGCACATCTTTATCGGTCTTTGCATTCAGGATTGTCCGGACCTCATCCTTTGATTGTGTGGACGGTTTTAAAATGTTTGGGTCCTAGATTTTTGTCTCGTCAGTTACCGGGTTACTCTTTACTTTTACTGGATCTTATTTCGGCATCCAATGCAGTCTTGGAATCATCCGACTTGCAGGTAAACATTTTAAAAGGTTCTTGTTTTTTTTTTTTCATATTCAATAATTACTTTTGATTTATTTTAATTAGGCTCCGAGAATTGAAGCTGCTGGCCTTTTAGGCTCAGTAATTAACTTACCGTATATGGTTTCCCAAGCACCTTCTCTCGATCCCAGGAATTCATCTTTAAGCATTTTAAAATTTGCCGGAGCAAAAGATCACGTACGTAGTTTACATTACATATATTTTTTTCAACGTCAATTTGTAAATTTTACAAAATGTTTCTCTTAGGTTTTAGCATCGTTATTAAGGTGTGCTAAAAGAGAACCTACGGGTGTGGCCAGATGCACTGCCTTGTCCGCGTTATCCGTATTTGCCTATACGGAGTTGTTGGGACCGTCTCCTCACTCATCAGTAGAACAAGCTTTTGATCTAATTCTTTTGGCGTTGCAGGTTGTTTAAATACTTTTTAAAAATATTCGTTTTTAAATATTAATTTAATTGAATTAATTAATCAATCAATCTCATTTTTTAGTTTAAGCAAAAGCCCGTGAGTTTTGTGGCCTGTGATTTATTATTCGCATTATCTGATCATATGGAAGCTTTAATTAAAAAATTTCCACGAATACCGGCAAAAGTTGTAAGATTCCTCGCTCACGTACTTGGAGGTTTAGGTTCGAATGCTGGATCATTGGGTCCTGTTTTAGCCCTAACTTTGGGCGAATGGACCATGAGATATCCCATTCCACTTTTATTATCCGAAAACGTTCCTCAACCTCTTCTGTTAACAATTTTTACGGTTCGTTTTATTATTTAATGTTTTTTATAATGTTTAATTTTTTTTTTTGTAAAAATTATTTTTTTTTTTTTTTATGTAAAATCAGGTTTTAAATGAATTATCTCAAGGTGCGAATTCCGTGAATACTATTCCACCAGATTTTTCAAAAGAAATATTGTCAGAATGGGAAAATAGTATAAAAATAGATGATATGAAAGCATTTCGAAAGCCGAATCATTTAAGTCTTGATAAAAATACATCGTCTTCTCTTGCCTGCAGGTAATAAAATTTATACCAATTAATAAGTATTGCTTTTTAGCTTTTTGCCAATAAAAATTGTTTTTTTTTTTTTTTTTTTTTAGAGCAATATTAATGCATTTAGTGAGTCATTTAGGGCATTTTCCCATGGGATTAGGTGCTGCTCGATTAAGTTCTCTCGTGCAAGAGCATGACGATGTTCCTTCGTTAGGTTCCGAGTTGTCAACAAAACTTTTCTACGCTCCCAACATTCAAGTGAGTAGTTTAATTTTTTTTTATTAATAATTAGAGTCGGAGTACATGTTGAGTATTTTTTTTTTTTTTATTTAGTTTATGATGGTACGAAATTCTTTGATGTCAATGATTGAAGTTGAGCATCTTCCTGCTCCCGGCGGTGGGTTTACAGCTGGATTAGTCACCGCACCTTTCCAGGCCAGAGTACTTCTCAGAGACTTGGCAAATAAAGCTTCTTGGGATGCCAGTGCTCTTTATTGCAGTCCACAAGATCTTCCAAACTTACGGAAAACTCCAAAGAATGCTATTAGACCTTTAAGATGTAATTAATTTTGTAAATTTGATGTAAATATGATTTTTTATAAATAATTTTTTAAAATAATTAAAAAAATTTTTAAAGCAAAAAATGACGAACCGCCCATGTCAATGTTGATGGCATCCATACCACCTCGTGGAACTCTAAGACACAGGCCAGCTCATGTTTTACCAACGTTTCAAAACGCAGCACCAGACATGGATAATCTACACGATTTATTAAGGTATGTTTTCCATTCAAAATAGTTATACCTTTTTTTTTTCAAATGTATATTTATTTACTCTTTTTTTATTGGTAGATACATTGGACACACGAGTCCTGAATGTTTGGAAATTCCCGATCAAGATTTGAGCGAACCGGGTCCTACTCCGTTTCCATTTAGCAAACAAACGGAAGCGGAAGTCATTTCGGCAATTCTGGCTCAAAAAAATTTAGAAATTGATTACAAACAATACTCGTGAGTATTTAAAATTTATTTAAAAATAATTTATATAAAAAAAAAAAAAAATTATATTATTTTTTCTTTTCCATTAAGGGAGCCCATGAAACCTTGCGTGCCTCCAGTACAACCCCCCGAAAGTTGTAATGCTCCTTTTCAACATTGCAGACAGCTTTTTTCTCAGCTTGGTCTTGCAGGTTGGGAAAGGAGGTCACAAATACAATTATTAGCTCGTTCGGAAAGGTTGCTTCGGGAATTAAGAAATTTGGACACTCAGAGGGGTAGGGAAACGCATAAAGTTGCCGTTATATACGTTGCTTCCGGTCAAGAAGACAAAGTGTCCATTCTTTCAAACAAGGGTGGTTCGCAAGTGAGTATTCATTTTTACAAAAAAAAAAAAAAAAAATATTTACATTTTACATTGATTTTTTTTTTTTTTTTTTTTCGGGTGCCAGGCATACGAACAATTTGTGGCTGGTTTAGCTTGGGAAGTTGAATTAGCTTCACACACGGGATTTAACGGAGGTTTAGGAAGTGGTTGCGGTGATACCGCTCCTTATTACGCCTCTGCTTTTGTCGAAGCTCTTTTTCACGTTGCCACGAGAATGCCTTCCGACTCCGAAGAAGCTTTACTTCAAAAGGTAGTATTAGTAGTACATATTCATTGTCAAAAAGACAAATAATAATAATAATAATAATGTATTGGAATAGATGAGACATTTGGGTAACGACGAAGTACACATAGTGTGGAGTGAACATACGAGAGATTACAGGAGGTCTTCACTCCCTACGGAATTTTGTGACGTATTAATCGTTGTATATCCGCTTCCCGATAGTTTGTATCGCGTCACGATCGATACTAAAGCTGAAGTAAGTCAAATTCATTTTTTTTTTTTTTTGTCTTTGAGTCATATCTCAATATGATTGATTGATTGATTGATTGATAGATGCCTTTTTTTGGACCATTATGGAACGAAGCCATTGTCGAAGGGCAAGCAGTCGCGGGTTTAGTGAGAGCTGCTGCTTTATCAGCATCCAGAGCCAAAAGAAGGATTTTACCACATTATCAATCGTTGTAAGTGTCGGTCATCAATTGAAAATTGAATTTTACGATGAGAGAGAACGATCAATGATGTAAAAAAAATTTTTTTTTTTTTTTTTTTTTGTAAAGTTACGAAGAGCGTTTTAGATCTTTATCCGGAGTTATTTCCAATCATAAAGATCCACAAAGTTTTGAAGAATTTATTGGTGCAATTTATTCTCCCGGATTACCTCCGCCACCTCCACGATCAAATCAACCCCTTTCATCGCGATCCATCGATAGTAGCAAAAGTAAGGAGATTTAAAAACGCATTTAATTTTTAATAACGCAAAATTTAATAACGAAAATAATAATAATAATAATTTTTTTTTTGTTTTTGTTTTGCAAAGGTTCCGACACGCGTTCATCCGACAAACAATCGCCGCAAGCATCAAAAAAATTCAGTTTTCGATCACCAGAACCCGAGAGTCCAGTTTTTTCTAAAATAAAATAAAAAAATAGGGACTCGGATTAATAGGTTCGGTAGGTTTTGAAAAGTTTTAAAACGAAATCGCAAAAAAAAAAAAAAAAAAAAAAAAGGTTTATAATAGATTCATCGACATCGATAAATGAACAAAAACGAATTTATTTATTCTAAAAAAAAAAAAAAAATGAAAACGGCCTAAATATTTAATGGTGTTTGTTTGTTTGTTCGTTTGTTTGTTTGTTTATTTAAATTATCACGATCTATATAAAGTTTCTATTATTTTACCAATAATTATCCATTTTTTTTCAAAAAAAAATGTGATTTTAATGTTGAAAACTCTAATTTAAAATTGTACAGGAAATTTAAAAAAAATAATAATAATAATAATAATAATACATTACTAATATTTATTACTTATTTATTTTGTAATTTTTCAAAATGATTTATTAATCACATTTTAAATGTATTTTAATAGATAATTTATTAAAAAAAAAAAAAAAAACAATGAATAAGGTACGAATGAGTTTTTGCTCAATTTTTCCATATAAAATAAAGAAAAGGATGGATGAATAATTTTTTTTTATCGAGATGAAATATTATTATTATTATTATTATTAATTTATATTATTACTACATCTAATGTATAAAATCAACGAAATAAATTTATTTATTATCATCATTATCATTATTACATTGCTTAAAATCGGTTATATATATATATATTTATTGTAACTTTTTCTTTTTACACATTATTGTAAATAATAATAATAATTTAATTAATCGTTAATTAATCATTATTAATAAATTTATACAATTTAAATTAATTTCTATTATAAAATTTAAAAAAAAAATTGAAAAAAAATTTTTTTTTTTTTTTTTTCATATTGTTTTGTTTGTTTACTATTCCGATTGTTTACATCCGGGTTTAAAAAAAACGTTTCGTTGCTGCCACGACAGTTATGTTTACATTTTCAACTCGAAACATGTTTTACATCATTGGATTAGGATTAAGTGATGTTAAAGATATAACCGTTAAAGGATTAGAAATAGTTAAAAAATGCGATCAAATTTTTTTAGAAAATTACACGTCTATATTACATGTTAATAAGGAAGAATTGGTAAATTAATAATAATAATAATAATAATTTATATTCGAAAAGAAAATGATGTTTAATAAAAGTTTGGAGCACTCATAAAAAGTATATATAATAGGTTACTGTATTGTAATGCCTTAAAATAAATTTTTTTTTTTTTTTTTAATATTTAATATTTTTAATAAATTTTTATATTTCTTATCATAAATTTGTATTTTGTGTTATTAATGTTAAATTATTTATTTATAAGAAAATATTACATAAAATTTTGAAATGTTAAATTTTTTAACCGAATCATATATATAAGTAATAATAATAATTAAAAAAAGTAAAATAAATATGCATTAAAATTATTATTATTATTATTTATAGGAAAATTTTTATGAAAAAGAAATAACATTGGCTGATAGAGATTTAGTCGAACAAAATGCTGATGAAATTTTATGCAATGCAAAAGAAAAAGAAATAGCACTTCTAGTGATAGGAGATCCATTCGGAGCTACAACTCATACAGATATCATTTTAAGAGCCAAAGAGAAAAATATTCCCTATCAAATAATTCACAATGCATCCATTATTAATGCTGTCGGATGTTGTGGACTGCAGCTGTATTCTTTTGGTATGAAATTTATTCATAATTGACTCATTGAAAATTTGGTCGTTTTTCGGGTGATTGAAAAAATTTTTTTTCTTTTAGGCGAAATAATATCCATACCTTTTTGGACTTCCACGTGGAAACCTGATAGTTTTTTTGAAAAAATATTATCCAACAGATTGAGAGGACTTCATACATTGTGCCTATTAGATATTAAAGTAAAAGAACCTACTTTGGAAAGTATAATGAAAAAAAAAAAAGAATACATGCCTCCAATGTTTATGACGGTCAATACTGCAGCAACACAATTATTACAAATTTTAAATAATTTTTCAAATGGCGAACAAGGTAAGAAAAATTTTTTAAATATTTATCCTTTCCAAGAGTAGTAAATTAATATTTTTAATTTATTATTCTTATTGTTTTATTTTGGTTATATAATTGTTTAAAATTAAAATATCAATTTATATATATATATAATGTATTATTATTATACTTAAATTTCAAAAAATTTCCAGGTCATTGCTTGGATGAAGAAACAAAATGTGTAGGCTTGGCTAGAATAGGTTCATCTGATCAAAAAATAATTTTTTGTTCATTAAAAGAAATGGAAAAAGTTGATTTAGGAAAACCTTTACATTCATTAATTATACCTGGAAAATTGCAAATTTTAGAAGAACAATATTTACATCAGTTTGCAAATTCTAATTAATAATAATTATAATTATTTTTTTATTATTTCAAGATAATTAAAGTAATTGTGGGGGGAAAAAAAATTTTGTAAATTTTTTATTTGTAAGAAAAAAATACCTTTTTTTATCGTCCTTATTATTATTATTATTTTTTTTTGTGTCTTTTCTTGTGGGTGCTGTACTTACACAGCACAACAAAAAAAAGAGTGGAGAACCAAAAGTTGATAATAGGGAAAATTAAAAAACATGATCGAGCATTTAGCCACACGTTAAACGCGTAAAATATTTTGGCCCTGAAAAGGGCCGTTTTTCGTAACGAATAAAAAACCAAAAACTCTTCAAGCTCTCTCTCCTCTGATTCTCCGAGCGAGTTGAATGTCTTTGGGCATTATGGTGACACGCTTGGCGTGAATGGCGCACAAGTTTGTGTCTTCGAATAATCCGACCAGATAAGCCTCGCTCGCCTCCTGCAAAGCCATCACGGCCGAACTCTGAAATCTAAGATCGGTCTTGAAATCCTGAGCGATTTCTCTCACGAGACGTTGAAACGGTAATTTTCTTATGAGCAATTCCGTGCTCTTCTGGTAACGTCTGATCTCACGAAGAGCTACGGTTCCCGGACGGTAACGGTGAGGCTTTTTGACTCCTCCCGTGGCCGGAGCACTTTTCCTGGCGGCTTTGGTCGCCAGTTGCTTACGGGGAGCCTTACCTCCCGTCGACTTACGCGCCGTTTGCTTGGTACGAGCCATCTTGTAACGAGAATAAAAAACGAGAAAACAAAAGAACACAAGAATCAGCCAAGTCCAAAGTTAATATGAATGCTCGATTCGACGAGTCTGTTATTTTATAGTCCGGCGAACGCGAGCTCCTCGCTTCTCATTGGCCACATCGTTCCCCGTTAAGCTTTTCATTGGACGCATGATTTTTTCGTGAACGCGATTGTATTTAAATAGTGGGGTGATTCTCGTGTCGTCATCAATTGCTTTTGATTTCAGTTGCTGTTCGTGCGTTAGTTTTACATATCCATTTGATAGCTTTGCAAACATGACTGGCAGAGGTAAAGGAGGCAAGGGTTTGGGAAAAGGTGGCGCTAAACGTCATCGTAAAGTTTTGAGAGACAACATTCAGGGTATCACTAAACCCGCCATTCGTCGGTTGGCTCGTCGTGGGGGAGTGAAACGTATATCGGGTTTGATATACGAGGAAACTCGAGGAGTGCTCAAAGTATTTTTGGAAAACGTGATTCGTGACGCTGTCACTTACACCGAGCACGCCAAGAGAAAAACCGTAACCGCCATGGATGTCGTGTACGCATTAAAACGACAGGGCAGAACCCTCTACGGTTTCGGAGGTTAATTTGCTTTTTTATTCTCTCGCAAGTCAATTTAATCAAAACGGCCCTTTTCAGGGCCAAAAAAACACGACACGTACGATACTGAAGTTGCTCACAATCCTTTAATTGAATAAATTTCGTAAATCGAAATGCGTATAACAATGTATTGAATGTCCGTCTCTGCATGCTTTTCCCGCAAAACTGCAACGACACAATCCGATAGATATTTCTCATTAACTGATTACAATTTATTTCGGGGATGAATTCGAATAAATCAATTTCCGTTAAGGGTGACGGGTTTTTTTAATAACTACCACAATAATTTTTTACCGGTTATCCAAATTTAAAATAAATTTCATCAAAAGTTTTACACTAATGTATTAAGTTCATTAAAGAAAAAAAGAAAGTAACGAGTTTAAAAATTTAAATTGTACACAATTTTAAATATTACTACTTTTATATAGTGTGCAAAAATCATTGATTTTCCTTTACGTGTAATATATGATACGTAATTAAGATTACTAATATTCGATATATCTAATATTTCGTATAAATACACAGGAGTGCAACTTTTTCCGCAAGTTCCTTTTTAAATGCCTATGATTTTTATTTTATCCCATGTATATATTTTTTTTCTCTTATTCCGTTTTAAATGATTTTTTTAAAATGCAGTCGTTTCAAACATTTTTTGGCGTTTAATATTGACCTACGGAAAAAAAAAAAAAAAAACAGATTTTGGAAGAAAAAAAAATTATTATCAACTGCCTTTTAAAAAAGGTTACGTAAAACGCGAATGATAAGTTTTTAACGAAATTCAAGGAAACGGTTACCGTACTACATATATAAAAGACACGAAAAAAGTGAAAATTTTTTTTTTTTTGAATTCGTTAAACGAACGCGTTTTTTCTCAATGGAAAAATGTTTACATAAAGTTTGGCAATTTTTTGTACCTATGATAAAAATTAAAAACTCAATAATTTAAAGAGACGATAACTCAGAATAAACCTTAAGCAAAATTCACTAATTTTTAATGTATTTTTTTTCAAGTCAATTATCGCTTATTAAAACCCGAAATATGAAACAAAAAAAACGTCATTAAGAATTAGAATATAATTTAAACGAAAAAACGATGAAAAGTGAGAATAAGAAAGCTCGAATCTTAGCCCGAAGAGAAATTTTTTAAAAACTATTTTACTTTTCCTTATTTTAATATTAATTTTTTTTTTTTTTTTTTAAATAGAACCTTCGAAAATTATTCAGTTGTCAAATAAATTGGTTTCCCAAAAAAATATTTTTATACAATTTTAATAAATTAAAATTTTCTAACCTGAACAGTCGAGTCAACGTCTATAGAACTCGAGACTCTAAACTGTTCGGAGAGTCAAAGTTTGCAGGGTCGTTTTGGAGTCATTCGTCGTTGAATTTGGAAATATTTTTATTTCAAATAATAGTTTATATCCTCATCGAACGTAAAATTGGAAAAAATAACTTTAAAAAAAATTATTTTCCCCTAAATTTGGTCGTCGAACACAAGCAACTCGAATTTTGCGCATTGAGGTCAATAAAGATTCCCTTATATTTTCCACTTCCGGACGGTTTGGAAAATCGTTTTTCGTTCAGTTGGAAAATCAAACATTCGAGTACGAGTTTTAAAGAAAAAAAACTCGGGATTCGATTATTCGAATGGTGAAAAATTCGAATTTAGAAATAGAACGTCGAACAAGTGATTAAGGTAAAAACACACATTTTCGACTCGGAGACGATCGACGTCTATTGCGTCCGCGTGTACGAACCGCGTCATATCGCAGCCGATAGCGAAGTTCATTTGTAATTTTCAGTTCTCTCTCGTTTCGTCGAATTCTCGAGTTTGAATTGTAATTTATTTTAATTATTATTACTTATCTATATATTATTATTTCATCATCGGTATTAGTATTTAGTATTTCGGATCGCTCGTTTTTTTCGTATAAATAAAAAGAAAAAATAAAAATGTCCGAAACCGAAGTTGCGACCGCTCCAGCTCCTGCAGCATCAACGCCGAAGAAGGCGGCCAAGGGAAAATCGTCCGGATCGGCGGCCGCGGCGGGAGCCGCCAAAAAAGCCAAAGCCAAACCAAGTCATCCAAAAACGGCGGACATGGTGACGGCAGCAATCAAAAACTTAAAGGAACGCGGAGGTTCGTCTCTCCAGGCCATCAAAAAGTACATCGGAGCAAATTATAAGGTGGACGCGGAAAAATTGGCACCGTTCATCAGAAAGTATTTGAAATCTGCAGTGACGTCGGGATCGCTCGTTCAAACGAAGGGCAAAGGAGCGTCCGGATCGTTCAAACTTCCTCCTTCGGCGGAAAAAGCTCCATCGAAAAAGAAGGCACAACCCGCCAAGGCAGCTGCACCCAAAGCAAAATCTGCTGAACCGAAAGCAAAAAAAGCCAAACCGACTCCGGCGAAGAAAACGGCGGTGAAAAAGAGCGCGAGCAGCGTGCCGAAAAAAGCTCCGGCCAAAGAAAAACCAGCAAAATCCGCAGCTCCGTCGAAAACGAAAAAGGTGAAGAAAGCTCCGACGAAAAAGCCCAAAGCTCCGAAACCGAAAAAAGTCACTCAGGCTGCGGCGGCGGCAAAACCCAAAACCGCAAAAAAAGCGACTCCAACGAAGAAAAAGTAAAAAAGAAAAGAAATACATGTCTTATATCAAACGGCCCTTTTAAGGGCCACAAAACAGAAAACACGTTCATACAAGATAAAGCTTAACTCAATTAATTAAAAACATCCTAAAACAAAAGCATCATCATCTTAATCCCTTTTATTGTATTTTGGTCGCAAAAGAAAATTTAGGGAATCGGACCTGCTGATCTACTTGCGTGTCTCTTCCATCAAATTCAAATGAAAATTATTTGATCGGAAAATAAAAAAAGAAAAAAATCTTGTTATATATAATAAAGGCGTCTTGTGCGTTGATACAAAAAAAAATTTCGATGCCCGCACTATCTTATTGATTCACTATGGATATCGTTCAGGTAGAATAAAAAAAAAAATAGTCTCCAATAGATGATAATAAAGAAAAAAATTCCGAGACAATCCAATGCTTAATTTTTTCTTTTAAATTAAAAAGAAAATTAGTAAAACGGGACTACAAGTGTTTTTTAGATGGCAAAATAAAAAGTATGTATTAATGATAGAAAAATTAACAAGAGCTTTTTCATATGAACGTGTTGACAAATTGTTGGCCCTGAAAAGGGCCGATTGGAATCGTTTGAATTTGTTGTAGTCGTCGTCAAAGAAAAAATTTATTTGGAGCTTGTGTATTTGGTAACGGCTTTGGTTCCTTCACTCACGGCGTGTTTTGCCAATTCTCCCGGCAATAAGAGACGAACAGCCGTTTGAATTTCCCGACTAGTGATGGTCGATCTCTTGTTGTAGTGAGATAATCTCGAAGCTTCAGCAGCGATTCTTTCGAAAATATCGTTTACGAAAGAGTTCATGATGCTCATGGCTTTGCTCGAAATTCCAGTGTCGGGATGAACTTGCTTGAGAACTTTGTAGATGTAAATGGCATAACTTTCCTTCCTCCTCCTTTTCTTCTTTTTGTCTCCCTTGGAAATGTTTTTCTGAGCCTTTCCGGCCTTTTTGACGGCCTTTCCGGTTGCTTTGGGCGGCATTGCAAAACAATGGTCAAAAAAATACTAAGGTAATCGAAACACTGTCTCACCGAAAGTTGATGAAATAATAAGAGCGATCAGAAAAGTGCGGTTTATATATACGCGCGAGCAACCGAGCGAGCCGACCAATGAATGCGCAAGAACGATCGACCCGCGCTTTTATTTTTGGTTTAGTGTTGTTGGTCTTAATACATATATTAAAAAATGTAATAAAATAAAAAATTTTTTATTTCATTGATAAAAAATATATTGTGTAATTGTTTAATTCAAATACCGTACAGTATATTACATTATGATAAAAATAATAAAATATTTTAGGTAAATAATTTCACTTGAAGATATCAATAATGTAAATATATGTAGTTTAATCTTTTACCCAAAATATAATATTTATTTTACATTGATATAATAAGTATCGTACTTTTAAAACATTTTCATAGTAAATAATAATTTTCAGTGTTAAGAGAAAACTCTTAACTTTTCAGATTAATTCGAAGTGTAATCTAAAAAAAAAAAAAAAGTATAGAAGTATATATTAAACATATTTTTTTTTTAATTGAGTCGTGAAAGGCTTAAAATTTTTTCAAACAAGTGTTTTAATAAGTATTCTTTCATAAAACAGCAAAACAATCAATAGTTTTTAAAATCATTCAGTGGTTGTAAAAATTGAAAAGAAATTTTCGAAAAAAGTAAAAAAAAATTTCCCGATATTATTAATTTCTAAATACAAAAACCCTGCGTCCAATGAGAAGGGGAACGGAGAACGATGTGGCCAATGAGAAGCGAGGAGCTCGCGTTCGCCGGACTATAAATTAACAGACTCGTCGGATCGAGCATTCATTTTAACTTTGAACTTGGCTGAATCTCGTGTTCTTTTATTTTCTCGCATTTTTCATCTCGTATTTTTTCTCGTTACAAGATGGCACGTACCAAGCAAACGGCGCGTAAGTCGACGGGAGGTAAGGCTCCCCGTAAGCAACTGGCGACCAAAGCCGCCAGGAAAAGTGCTCCGGCCACGGGAGGAGTCAAAAAGCCTCACCGTTACCGTCCGGGAACCGTAGCTCTTCGTGAGATCAGACGTTACCAGAAGAGCACGGAATTGCTCATAAGAAAATTACCGTTTCAGCGTCTCGTGAGAGAAATCGCTCAGGATTTCAAGACCGATCTTAGATTTCAGAGTTCGGCCGTGATGGCTTTGCAGGAGGCGAGCGAGGCTTATCTGGTCGGATTATTCGAAGACACAAACTTGTGCGCCATTCACGCCAAGCGTGTCACCATAATGCCCAAAGACATTCAACTCGCTCGGAGAATCAGAGGAGAGAGAGCTTGAAGAGTTTTTGGTTTTTTATTCGTTACGAAAAACGGCCCTTTTCAGGGCCAAAATATTTTACGCGTTTAACGTGTGGCTAAATGCTCGGTCATGTCTTTTGATTTTCCCTATTATCAACTTTTGGTTCTCCACTCTTTTTTTTTCAAGTGTTTTTTTTGAAAATATTTTCCTAAAAATGTTATGGTAAATTCTTATTTAGTAAAACTTTATTTTAAATAATTTGAGTTTTATCAAAAAAAAAAAAAAACAAAAAAAATGTTTTTTAGGAAATCGCAGAGGTAATGTCTGCTTCTTTTAAAAATATTATATTTCAATGAAAAATAATTTTTATTCTGTTGCTTTTCGATTAAATAAATTTGAGTTTAAACCAAGTGTAAAATGTAATTTATGTATTTTGGTGCATGTATTGAATTAGGTTTTTTTTTTTTTTCAATTTTTCTGTGAGAAATGTAATGAAATGGTGGTTGTGGTAGTGTAACTTTTAACTTCTTTGAACTTGAATGTGAAATTTGCAGGCTGGCATCTGATCGACTTCAGCAGTAACTAAACAAGTTATTCCAAGGTTTGACAGTGCTCCTCTGATTAATCCACATGTAAAAGCTACAAACTAAAAAAAAAAAAACAACACCTTGTTAAACAAGAAATTTACAAATATTTAAATTTCACTGTTGTCCTAACATTTATTGGTATCACTAAAGATCACATTAAACATGATAGCTTTAATGAACATTTTCAATAATGTACTATAGTGAGCACAAAATATTTCCAATGAAATTTCTTGTGTGTGTGTGTGTGTGTGTGTGTATTAATATTCACAAAAAAAACAGACTGCATATTTATTACCCTTGGAGCAAATTCTAAATATTGTTTTTGCGAGGATAAGTGAACTAAATATCTGAAAGCATTGTCTTGCAACACATAGACTCCTTTATGATTTGTTCTCAAATTATCTATTTGTTTCATGTAAATCGATGACCAGAAATCAGTACATAAAAATTTCATCGTTTCTAATTCATTTTTAAATGGTGACCATTCTCTGGTTAACCTGAAAATTTAACACACATATACCATACAAATGTTCAAATGAATAAATCATTGCAAAGTGTACTAGTGTTGTGCTGTGTAAGTACAGCACCCACAAGAAAAGACACAAAAGAAAAATAATAGTTAAATCATTATTTAAAAGGTATTTTAAAAAAAATTCAAAAAACGAACCTTTCGATAATTCTGAAACCTGTTATGTAACCCAAATATTCTAGAGTAGAGATGTATTTCTAAAAAAAAAAATATACGTATATATATATATATATATATATATATATATATATATATTTAATGCATATATATATATATATATATATATATATATGCATTAAATGTACATCGAACAAAGTTAAGAAAACTGTTATTTGATTTTTTCGATAAATAATTGAAAAAATTAATGATGTAAAAAAAAAAACGATCGACTATAATTTAAAAAAGAGTTAAAAAACAGACTTGAAGAGAGCATTTTGTATTAACCTTATCATCGTTTGAATCGATTACGTATTTGACAATTTCAGCATGAAGAAATTCAATTAAACTTTCATCCGCCATTGTTTGAAGTGTTTTTACTTGTCTAAAGTCACGTCAAATGATAAAGTGAAAAAAAATTTTCTAAGGGAATTGGCAAGAATTTAAAATGGAGGGCGATAAAAAAGGTATTTTTTTCTTATAAATATAACTGGTGTTTCTTGGGATATTGGCAAAATGTATCATATTTTTAAATGTCTTGGTCAAACAATATTTTGACAACGCATTCGTAGTAATTAAAGAACTAATTTATATTAAGATGGCTTTTTCTATTGTCTGTTAATAAAGTTTTTGCGTACTATGCAAGTGGCTGTAATTTTACATTAAAAACTCAATAAGTCTTAGTATTCCATTGAATTTTCATTGTGTTAAATTTTTTTTTTTTTTTACAACTACTGAATAATTTTATTTAATTTAAGCAATACTAAAAAGAAAGTTATTAACTTTTAAAAAAGTAGTTTTTCTTATTACCATTTATTACCTCTTCATTACTCTTATTTATTTAATATTTGGTCACAATCAAAATGGCTGAGCAATGTTCCAATAACATTTTCCATACATTAACCATATGTTGCATTTGACTGAATATTAATAAAAAAAATTTTTTTATTCATTTGTATGACAGAAAAAAAATGGTATCACAAGAAAAATAAAAAGGACAAAACTGAACATCATGCTGACAAACATAAACCTGGTTTTTCTGGTGACAGTCAGCCTGTAGCAGGGGAAACAAGTTCATTTGAGAAAGTTTCTTCTGAAAAAATGCCCAAAAGTAGAAGCGAAATTGATTTTGATAAAACCAAACAAGAAATGCCACAGAGTTTTAAACATCAAAAACAACAACTTTCCTCCACTGAGAAAGAAGGAGTTGAATCTCATCAAAAACAACAACCATCTGATTATTCTAAGAGTGAAACCCAAATTCAACAGAAACATAAAAACCCTAAACAAAAAATGAAAGTCCAAAGGCAACCTGATTTACCGATTAGTGAAAAACAACCTCCATCTGCTCAGGGTGCTAAACAACAACCTCAACAACAGCAGCAGCAGTCACAAAGTTCGATGCAACCTCCATCAGCTTGGGGTGTCAAACAACAACCTCAACAACAACAACAACAACAGCCGCAAAGTTCGATGCAACCTCCATCTGCTTGGGGTGTCAAACAACAACCTCAACAACAGCAACAACAACAGCAGCAAAGTTCGGTGCAATCTCCATCTGCTTGGGGTGTTAAGGAACAACCCAAATACAAAAATTCAAAAGGTTCCGAAAGGTTTTTTGAGGATTCAAAATATAAAAAGGGTTGGGACAAAAAAAATACAGCAAAGCAACAACTTTCCTCTGCTGAGGAAGGAGGAGATGAACCTCATCAAAAACAACAACCATCTGATAGTTCTAAGAGTGAAACTCAATTTCAACAGAAACAGAAAAATCCTAAACAGAAAATGAAAGTCCAAAGGCAACCTGATTTACCAATTAGTGAAAAACAACCTCCATCTGCTCAGGATGCTAAACAACAACCTCAACAACAACAACAACAACAGCCGCAAAGTTCGATGCAACCTCCATCTGCTTGGGGTGTCAAACAACAACCTCAACAACAACAACAACAACAACCGCAAAGTTCGGTGCAACCTCCATCTGCTTGGGGTGTTAAGGAACAACCCGAACACAAAAATTCAAAAAAATCCGAAAAGTTTTTCAAGGATTCGAAAAATAAAAAGGTTGGGGACACTAAGAATATTCCGAAGGAAGGGAAAGGTGATAGTCGGGATCCTTCAGCCAAATCAACAGAATTAATTACACAAAAACTCGACAAAATGAATTTAGAAAAAGGGCAGGAAGGCAGACGAAGTCCAAATTCACCCGATAAGCAGCTCATACCATTTGCACAAAAAATAGTTGATCCTCGGAAAGACGGCAGACGAATTTTAGTGGATACAAACTATTTTCCTTTGAGAATATCCAATCCTAACGTGATTGTTTATCATTATGACGTGGTTTTTAATCCCGACACTCCAAAATTCATGCTTCGACTTGCTTGGAATAAATACGCATCGGATAATTTCAAAAACCGAATAACGGTTTTCGATGGTAAAAAAAATGCATATTCGAAAGGTCCGTTAATTTCAAATGGAAATTGTCATTCCGCTGGAGTATCAATTGTGAATCCGAATTCTGGAAAAATAAGAGAATTCAGCGTATCCATTCAGGAAGTTAGGCAAGTAAAATTATCCATTTTTAAGGATTACAAGCAAAGTTTAGAACACAACGTAAAACTTCCAGAAGCTGAAATATCAGTTTTGGAAATTATTCTTAAAAACGGACCGAGTAATACTCTCGTCCCTTGCGGTAGATCCTTTTTCCCTAAATCACAAATGGGGATTCGGGCGCGGAGCATATCTTCGTGTTTGGATTATAGAGCGGGACATTATCAAGCGGCAACTTTAGGAGATCGTATATATTTAAATTTTGATCTTGCTCAAAAAGCCTTTTACAAAAGTCTTCCGGTTATTGATGTTGCGTATTCTTTTACAAGTTCGTACAATAATAGAATAAATTTGGATTCGTTAAATTATTTCTTAAAAGGAGCAAAAGTGGAATACAAATTACCCAACAGTTCGGATCCGGGTAAAATCTATAAGGTTAACGGTTTAGTTGGAAATGCCGAAGAGGAAACATTTGAGAAGGATACGATCACCATGACCGTTGCAACATATTTTGCCAAAGATAAAAAATACCCTTTGAAACATTCTCACCTTCCGTTACTGTGGGTCGGATCGACGCAAAGAAAAATCTATCTTCCCATGGAATTTTGTAGAATAGTTGAAGATCAAGTTTTTATGGGAGAAATGTCTCCAGACGAAACTAGAGAAATGGTCAAGCTTGCAACATCGGATGCCAAAACTCGAAAAAAAGATATTCTCTACGTTTTTAATAAAGCAAATTTTTCAAATAACATATACATGAAAGAATTTGGACTCAGCGTCGATAAGGACATGGAAAGAATTCAAGCGAGAATATTGGAGCCACCTTCTTTGAGAACGAAGGGATCCGTATTTGTCAAAGATGGACAGTGGAAAATTAGAGATTTTTTCACTCCGACCGTTCTAGATAATTGGTGCATTTTATATTTCGATAATTGCGTGCGTAAAGAAAATTTAAACGATTTTCAAAATTTGATAAAGAGAAAAGGAACGGAGTTTAACATGCAAGTCAAAGATGCGATAAGAAATCCCGTGGGAGGGAATTCTCACCCGCGAGAATTGGCCAGAACCTTACAGGAATTGAAACAAATGAAATTAGTTTTTGTCATAATTCCAGAAACGAAAGGATTATATTCAAAAATCAAAAACATATGCGAAACGCAAGAAGGGATACTGACTCAGTGCGTGCGAGCGAGAACCCTGTGTCAAGATTTTAGAAAATTTTCCACAACTGTAGAAAACATACTTTTAAAAGTCAATGCAAAATTGGGGGGAAGGAACGTGAGCTTGGATAAAAACAGTTTTCCGACTTGCTTAGAAGGGCTTGTAATGGTGATCGGAGCGGACGTGACGCATTCCGGACCCGGATCAAGAATTCCGTCCGTGGCAGCCGTGGCCGTGAGTTGTGATCCTCAAGCTTTTCAATACGGAATCTCGACTCGAGTTCAAATCGGTGAAATAATACAAGACATGGAAAACATAATAGGAGAACATTTGAGAAAATTTTATCAGATACGACAAAATTATCCGGAAAAAATTATATTTTTTAGAGACGGAGTGTCGGAAGGAGAATTGCCCATCATGATGAAAACGGAATTGGAAGCGATAAAAAGGGCATGCTCTCGCGTTCCTTCGTGTCGACCCAAAATCACGATGATAGTCGTTCAAAAAAGGCATCACACGAGATTTTATCCCGTCAATGACGCAGATGCAATCGGAAGGAATTTCAACGTTCCCGTGGGAACGTGCGTCGACACCGACATCGTTCATCCTCGTGATTTAGATTTTTACCTAGTTTCTCATGCTTCCATTTTGGGTACGGCGAGACCGACGAGATACAGACTTTTGTACGACGACAATCGTCTCACGGATGATGAAATCGAAAAAATGTCATTTTATTTATGTCACATGTTTTCGAGATGCAATCGATCCGTTTCTTATCCGTCTCCAACCTACAACGCTCATTTGGCGGCTTTTCGCGTGAGAGCTTATTTGGAAGCGAGAAATTTATCTAAAAACGACGATTTAAAATCTATACAAGCAAAATTAAAAGATGTAATTTCTCAAAAAAATCCAATGTTTTTTGTATAGAAAATACATTTACTTTACGCATCACATTATTATTATTATTATCGTTACTTTTTTTTTTTTTTATAAACCGTTTATATCAATATTGTAATTGTTATGCTATTATTTCAAAAAAGATTATTATTTCAATTTATTATTAAAATTATTATTAATTATTATTAAAATTATTATTCAATTATTATTAAAATTATTATTTCAAAAAACATAAAATTATGTATGATTGTTATGTATTTGCCTAATATTATATATTTACGTACATTTTATTATATTTCAATGCATATATATTTTTTTTTTTTTTTTGATAAATAATGGAATTTTTTTTTATAATAATAATAATATTTTATTATTTTTAACAAATAAATTTTGTCAAATAAATTATTATCCTGTTATCAGATAGTAATTTTTTTCCTATTTATAAATCCCACCTTTTCTTTTAATTTCGGGAAATATTTCATAAATTAAAATTTCCAAAAGATCCTAAAAAGAAAAAAAAAAAAATTTATATATATAAGGAAAATAAGGGCAATTAAATTATAATTAAATTTAAAAAAAAAAAAAAAATTTACGTAAACGAGCTGTTTATTAAGTCGTACATCTTGTAATATTTCAAATACTTTTATTGCTCCTCTTTTGGCATTTTGCTGTCCGACCAAATTATTTAATACTTCTGGAGTGTTATTGACAAATAAATATTTGGCATTGGCTCTGCAGTAAATCAATTAATTTCAAATTATCAATAATTGAGCAGAAAAAAAAAATCTTTTATTAATACTTTTATCCGTCGTTTGTTTTCCAACTACCTCGTATTTTGTTTTTCTTCCTTTGTTCTCGTTCGTTGTTGTTTTGCTAGATTTCCATTAGGCCACCAGGATTGTATGAAAAATTTTATGTAATAATGAACCATTTGTTCTGAAAACAACCATGAAACCGTTTCTCTAACTTGACGACTGATTGTTCGACCGTATGTTATTTGTACGAAGGTTATAAGAGTTTTTCGAAGCCAGCGAAAAACTCCTCTCAAATCAAATATTTCGCTTAAAAGAGCGTACAAAGGTTCTACAACAGCATCTTTTCCTTCTCCTCCCCCTCCCCCTCCCAATTTGACTTCGTTTTCATCCAAAAGAGAATAATCTTCTTCGTCACTGTCTTTACTTCCTTCGCCATTCCCTTAAAAAATTATTATTATTATTATTCGCTCTTGTTTTATTTTATTTTAAAGTTTTTTTTTTAAATGGCATACCTTGATTACTCGAGGTTTTAAATAATGTAGACAATGAAAATCTATTTTTTTTCGGCGATGAAACTCCAGGTACATTTGACAATTTTAAACTTTCCGAACTTGGACTTAAAAATGTGTAAATGGCTTCGCTTGTATTCAGTCTTTCGTCTTGCAAAACAAACTAAACAAAAAAAAAAAACCTTTTTTTTTTTTCGTCAAATTCATCATCATCATCATCATCATGACTCGCACGTACCTCCAGGTACTTTTGAATTTGATTTTTTGCCTTATCTAAGCTCGCTTTGTCGGAATGTTTTCCGAAGAGAAATTTTGGACTTTGAGATGGTAATTCAAGGTTTTTAACACCGTTCCAAACCTGCGATAATTTTTTATGTAATTCGTGAAATTCTGATAATTTTCGTAGTACTACCCATCCTTGGATACCATAATAATAATAATAATAATTATAAAAAATTTGAATTAATCATCATTAGTTCATGAGAAATAAGAGGATCATATATTTATACCTGTTGATATGGCGTCATAATTTAATTCATCTTCCAAAACGTGTACGACTAAAACAAAATGAGGACATTCTTTATCAGCAGAAACTTCTGCCGATTGTACTACAACTCTCCATTTTCCTAAATGTTCTTCCCAAACTTCCGTTCTTGTTAAATGAGCTTCGAGTTGTCTTTTTTCACCTTCTAAATTTTGTACTTCTTTTTCTAAACCGGACAATACTCTCGATTCGGGTTTCAACGACAGACGTAATGCCTGGAATTAATTAAATTAACATGGAACGCAATTTCCCCCCCCCCCCTTCCCTCCTCCTCCCATAGGGTTACCACAAAAATACAAATTAACTAATAATAATAATGATGATGATGGCAACTTACTTGCAATGCTTGAGATTTATTATTTAAACGTTCCTGAAGTTGGTTTAATTTGTTTTTGGCATAACCGTTTTGTTCGACAGAATCCACTTTATCATTTTCAAAAACAGATTGATTTTCGTTGTTTAAATCTAAAAATTATGAGTGATAAATCCATTATAAAAGGATTTAAATAAACTAAACACTCAAAAATAAAAGTACCTTGCTTCGTTGATTCGATATGCTGTAAAAATTGATTGTAAAAATCTGTCAGAACAAAATTTGGATAAACTTTTTCTTTAAGAAGTTGAACGATATTTTCTTGAACTTCATAAAATGCTTCAGGACCTGAATTTCCAAGAAGAAAACTTTCGATACGACGCCTGACTGATTTTTCAACCTGCAAATATATATATTTCCTTTATGTGAAAATTTCAATTTTTTTTTTTGCGGCAGAAAAAATATATAAAATATCATTAAATTATTTTTAACCTTAATGGGTGCTTCCTGGGAATGAATAAAAGTATAATATATTTCAGCACCGATTTGATGCCAGTGACTTTTAACCGTGGATCGTAGTTCTTCGACAGCAACCCAAAATGACAAATAAGTTTCTTGTCCTCCATTTTCAAGAAAATTATAAAGCATTTTTCTTCCGAATGAATTTTCTAAAATTTTTTCAAAAGGAACTACAACCTGTAAACATTTGGGTACAAAAAAATGTAAAACAAATGTAAAAATTTTAAAATAAATATATAAAATCAATCTAACCTTTTTTTCCATTTCTCCAGACATTACATTTTCGGAATCGTTAGCAAATCCAGGACAATCTAAATCTCTCAGTCTGTTTTCACATTGTAATTTTGCAAATTTTAATTGGCCAAGATATCGTTTTAATTTTTTTATACTTATTTCATCTTTTTCACTATCAACTTCTTTAACTTTTTTTAAATTTTGTATTGTTGTCGCTTGCATTATTTCAGTCATTATGCTGTACCTTAAAATACATAATAATCATTATTTACATACATTTTAATTAAAGAAAATGTTAATTTAATAAAATTTCATACCTAACTCGTTTTAAATGATTCGCATCATCGCTGCTTGTAATTAATTGAATAAATTCTTGAAAGCTTTCGGCATGAGAACAACTATTTTGATGTAAATTATTTGTTTGAACTACCTGTTCCATGTATTCTAATATTTTTTGGTTAATGTAATCTGGGTCTGTCAGTAAAGCAATGCAAGGAAAGAAAACTGGAAAAAAAAAGAATTATTCTCGACATGTTTCCAGTAGTTAATAATTAATAAAAAATTAACATACCTTTACAAGTCAATATTTCAATTAATAAATTTTTATTACAAGCATGATTAATGAGATAATTAGAAAAAAAAGTGACCAATATAAGTTCTGATATTTTTCTTAAATAATTTAATTCTTTTTCAATACTTTGTAAATGATGAGAAATATAAAATTGTTTTGAAAAATCATTTCTATAAAAAAAAAAAAAAAACGAAAAGAAAAACATTTAAATATATAATTTTTTTTTTTTTTTACTTTGACTCCAAAATGTTTTAATGCTAACCCTGAATTAACAAGTCTAATTTTTTCAAAATGTGATGTTATTTTTGAAACCATATCTCCAGCGATTAATTTTGTTTCATCAATATTTATTAACCTTTCGTTTAATTTACCTAATGCATACCAAATTTCCTTCCTGTTGGGAAAAAAATGAAAGAAAAATTTTAGATTTGTTAAAACAATATTTTAAGTAAGAAGAAATTACTGTAACTCACTTAAATGAAAATTGTAACTTTTTGTATGAAAATGTCAAATTTTCAAGCCAAGATGAAATTAAATCGCGTACAATTAAGTCCAACAATTCTTGTAGAGCAATGTCAACAGATCTTCCAAAAATTACAGGCAGTCTTTTTTTTGTCTTATGAACGTGGTTATTATAACTCTGGGGTATGTATTTATGAAAATTGGAAAAAGAAGACAGAACATTCACATAGCGGGCAGTGTGCTTCATCGAAAGCATAATTTGTACAGTAACGGTTCCAGATATTGCAAGAAGAATTGCAGCAACAAAAACCAAACATAACAATGAAAACCATAAAAAAATAGGATACAGAGCAATAAATGCAATAAATATTAGACAAATGAGATAAAATACTGAATTCATTGCCATCATTTAAATTATCATCAAATAAATATTTTGTTATTGTAATACTTTACATAAAACCTTTGGAGAAACCGTTAAAAATTGTTATTGATTTATTTCTATTAAAATCGTAATAACAAGTTTTCGTTAATTGCATCGTGCAATTGACATTGCAATGCATAAAAGCAAACTTGCACGTGTGCATTATTTTTTTCAAAATAAAATATTAATTATTTCAATATAGACAATTTCATTAAAAAGGAACTCTTGTAATTTTTCTTTTAATATCAACTCAAAGCTCCCGTAAAACTCACAGCCTTGTATAACGAGTTACATATGATTACATTACAATATTGTAACCACGTACGTTGTAAATACAATTAATTTGATTTTGAAACAAATACAAAACAGTTGTAAAAATATTTTTTAAAGTTATCATCATCACATCAAAATGATAATAATTCTTCTTATTTAATTATTATTCTTATTATTGTTTTACATCAAAATTTACATTTTTTTAAATACGTATCTATCATAAAAGTATTACATTTTGTAAGGTTATCATTCGCACATGGGTCGAAATAAAATTCAAAAAAAGAAGAAAGAAAAGAAGAATTTTAAGAAGTTTGCAACGAAGAACCCAAAAAAAAAATTTCAAACATTTAGAGATATTAAGCATTCCGAACAATATGCAGAATATAAATTAAAGTTAGAAAATGAAAAAAAGAAAGTGGAAATTGTAGAGGAAGAAGATGAAGAACCCGATAACGATCCGGTTTCTTTGCTGTTGTCTACATTTAAAAATAATACAAGCAAGTCGCAAGAAAATGTTGCCATCGACAGTGAGGAGGATTCCTCTGATGAGTCCAAATTATCTGATGATGATATGCATGCAGCAGATGAGTTTGCAGAAGGGCTTGAAAATAATAAGAAACAAAACGAATCTGATTTACAATTAGACCACATTGATAACTCATTAAATGATTGGTAATGTGTAAAATACTTATTATCGAGTATTAAAATTGTTTATTTACATTATTCTACTTTATAATTTAATTTTGCAGTCATAATGAAAGTATAGAGGATTATAATGAAAGTGATAACGACAGCATCAAAAGCAATGATGAAAATGAAATTGATTTGGACAATGAGGAAGCCATTGAAGCAGAGACCAATGACAAAAATGATCCATTTTGTGTTCATTTAAATTACGATTTGCCAGAATCGTTAATAGAAAGCTTAACATCTGTTCCGATGAATGTAAAAACGGACAAAATGTACTGGCCGAGTCTTCACAATTTAAAAGTTGAAATCCCTTCAAGTAATTCTGAAAAATTTAATCAATTAAATTCTGAAATGGTGTCAATTAATAATGATGTAGAATATGCTAAGGAATATGAATCACCAGTATTGATAAAATCAGTTGATTATTCAAAGTTATATATTAAAACTCAAATACATAAAAATATAGAAGAAGCTAATAAATTATGTATGAATTCTAGTAAAGGTGAATTTACTCCATTGCAAAAAGAAATATTTTCAATTATAAATAACTATCAAGATTTATATTATTGTAATAGAAATTTAAATAATGGTGAAGAAATTAGATTTATTTATTGTTTGCATTCTGTTAATCATATTCTTAAGACTAGGTTAAAAATTTTACATCATAATAATAAACTTTATAAAACTATAAGAGATTTACCACCTGATGAATATAGAGATCAAGGATTGGTAAGACCAAAGGTTGTAATCATTGTACCTTTTAGGAATTCATGTTTAAGGTATAAATTATCATCTCTATAAACAAATTATTTTAATTTTTTTATAAAGAAAAAAAATTTTTTATCTTTACAGAATAGTCAATACAATGTGTTCGATTTTATTACCGGATAAAAAAAGTAATATAATTAACAAGAAAAGATTTTATGATGAATTTAAAGGTTCTGAATTGCACATGCCGAAAAAAAATCCAAAACCAGAAGATTATGAACAATTATTTAAAGGTAACATTGATGATAATTTTAGGATAGGATTAAATTTTACTAGAAAAAGTATAAAGGTAATTATTTTGTACAAAATAAATTAATAAGTAGGAAAATAAACATTAAATAAATAACATTGAAAATTTTTCAGTTATATTCAGATTTTTATTCGTCAGACATAATAATAGCATCACCGTTGGGATTAAGAATGGTGATTGGAGCAGAAGGAGATAAAGAAAGAGATTTCGATTTTCTCGCTTCTGTTGAAATTTTAATTTTAGATCAAGCAGAAGTATTTCTAATGCAAGTAAGTACAAAAAAAAATTTTTATTTTATTAATCAAACAGAAAAAAACATAATAATAATAATGAATGGATCATTTTGATCGTTTTTGTGTGCAATCATATACATTTACATGATTAATTTAAATTAATCAGTAAAAGGGAAGGAAGGAAGGAGAGGGTAGAGAGTAGAGGGGGATTCATCACACATTAATTAATTACACATGGTAAAGAGAGTAAAATAATAATAATAATAATTATCATTTATTTTAGAATTGGGATCATTTATTGTTAATATTCGAACATTTACACATTCAACCGAAGGAAAGTCACGGCGTTGATTTTTCAAGAGTACGATCTTGGGCTTTAAACGGATGGACAAAATATTATCGTCAAACATTGTTATTTTCCTCTTTTCCATTTACCGAATTGAACGCCATATTTAATCGTCGGTGTTTTAATTACGGTGGAAAAATTCGTGTCGCGAATCCGGTCGAAGATGGTAGCATATGCAGAGTTGTCGTCCCATTGTCACACGTGAATATAAAATACAAAATAAATTTAATGAAATTCAGATTTTTCGGTTATAAAAATATTATATAACTTTTTTCTTTTTTGTTTTCCGTTAGATATATCAAAGATTCGAAACGGATTCGGCCGTGAATTCCCTTGACGACAGATTTAAATATTTCACGGAAAAAATATTACCACAATTTAAAGATCCGATAATGACGGGTGTGCTCATATACGTACCTTCTTATTTCGATTACGTGAGAATAAGAAATTATTTGAAACAAAGCGATTATAATTTTGTACAGATATGCGAATATTCAAAGGTACGAAATAGTACACCGCGTTGGAAACGACAAAAGAATTATTATTATTATTATTATTATTATTATTGATTAAATAAATAAATAAATAAATTTCAGGATTCGAAAGTTGCTAGAGCGAGAGACATGTTTTTCCATAACGAAGTTAGAATTTTACTCTACAGCGAAAGATTTCACTTTTACAGGAGAATAACGGTCAAAGGGATTCGTCATTTGGTTTTCTATCAATTACCAATAATGCCAAATTTTTATTCCGAATTATGTAATCTCATGCAGGTTGGTACTACTACTTCCGAGTCCGCCATTTTGTTTTTTTTTTAAAACTTGTATATACATATACAGGACATATAAATACATGTGATATACAGGAGAAAGAGGGGTAGGAGGAGGGGAAAGGGGATTCTAAAATTCTCCCGATCCTCATTTTTTTCTTTTTTTTCAGGATGCGAATCAAAATAAATTTTTATCAAACGATTCACTCATGACTGTAACGGTTCTCTATTGTAAATACGACGTTCATCAATTGGGAAACGTTGTGAAAACGTCAAGAGCTGGAAAAATGTTATCCTCGGATAAAAACATTCACATGTTTAGCACGGGATAGGGATAATAATACTAATAATAATAATAATAATAAAACCGAGTCAAACGTTTTGTTATTTTATCTAAAAATTTTTTTTTTTTTTTTTTGTACTTTTACCCCTGTATAATAATTTATAGATCGTTAAAATTTTTCCGAGAAAATAATAATAATAATAATATTAAGTGAAAGAATGAGAAATTTTTTTTTTTAAAAACGTCACGGGTTCAAATATATAAAAAATTTATTTATTAAATAAATGTCGTTTCATTTTTATTAATTTTCCCGATACGAAATTATGTAATTTTTTTTTATTTTATATTAAAAAATTTTATTTAATAATTAAAATTATTTGAAAACTTTCACCGGCTCGTATACACATAACCTTTCGAACTATTATTATTATTATTATTATCAATTATTTATGATTTTTTTTTTTTTAACTATAATAAACAATAACAAAAAAATGTAAGTATTGTGTTAAATTAAATATAAAATATATTTTATTTACCCAATTTTATGATTTTTCTTTTTTTTTTTTTTTTGCAATAAATTATCACATTTTTTTTTTTTGTATTATTAAACAAGTCATGAATTGTGCAAAAAAAAAAAAATTTTTTTTAAATCTTCCATTACGTAAGTAAAAGTTAAACAAAATAAATTATTTAAAAAAAAAAAAAGGCTTTCAACGTAATAAATTAAAAAGGAAAAGAAAAAAATATGTTGGTGTTAAATATAATTACTTAACCGTTTGTTTTATTATTTAAATAAAGTTAAAAAATTTTAATTTATCGGGTAAAATTAAATTTGAGGTCGTCGAATTCATAACCCCCCGTCTCCCTTCCCCACTTCCCCCCTCCCCCGTAATAATACCTTTTGAGTTATTTATTTATAAAAACCTTATTTAAATAATTTATATAAATATATATTTAAACGATTTGAAAATTTTTTTTTTTTTAATAAAATATACCGATAGGAATTGCATATTTCCCGATCACCTTAATCGATGATAACTTCCTCGATAATAATAATAATAATAATTTATAAATAAATCGTACCTGAAATGTTTTGATTACGTAATTAACGAACGTATGACTTTTTATATATGTTCGAACCCCCACACGAAAACCTTTTTCAATGAAATTTCCTTATAATTTTTTTTTTAATAATAATAATAATAATTTCAAAGGTTAATAAAATAAATAAATAAAATTATTGAGTTTTTATATTTTTTATTTAAATACATAAATACATTTATTAAAGAGGAAGAAAAACCGCGCTCGCCCATACCACGACCTGTGCGCCATACCTAATTTTTTTTAATTTCTTTCACTCTATCCATCGAATCGCTCGTTATTTTATTATTACCATTAGTATTATTATTACTATTATTATTATTATAATAATCATTCATGAAAACTTGATTCATAATGGCTCCGATATAGGTTCTAATCCAAATCGGTGGAATTTTAGTAAGGTAACTTTGTAAACCGTGAGCCCAATATCCGGATGAATTATTTAGGATCCCCAATAAATTGATCGCGTTGTTCGCATAAGTTTCCGCATCCGGTATGAAGATCCCCGTTTGTCGTAAACGATGACTGAAATCGTTCATTTTTGTATTTACAAACATGGGTGACAAATGTTGTACGGTTATACCATATTTTCTATATTCGAATCTCAATGCGTCGGAAAAACTTTTTATAAATGCTTTCGATGCTGCGTATACTGTCATGAATGGTAAGGGTTGATGTTCGGAACCTGATGATATGTTAACGATTCCACCCTTTTTCCTTTCCACCATTTTTGGAAGGATCATTTTCGTCATCATTACTGTCGTCGCAATGTTTATGTTTATTATATCCCATAATTCTCGATCGTTTACGTCTCCAACGTACATCGGCCTCGTGTATTGTTTACCAACGTTATTTATGAGCATACCCACGGGTATGTCTTCGAGTTCTTTTTTAATTTTATCGAATATAATTTCACCTTTGCTAAAATCCGCCGTTATTGTTTTAACCGTTACCAAATGCCTGTGCATTATTTCTTGAGACAAATCCGTTAATTTTTTTTCATTTCTGCTTATTAGTACAATGTTTATACCTCTTTTCGCCAAACCCAATGCATATGCTTTACCTATGCCATCCGTCGAACCTGTGACTACTGCCCAGGTACCGAATTTAACGGAAAGTGGTATCATTTCCGACATGAAATGTGCTCTGATCCCTTGAATTATTTTAATTAATAAATCTAAAATGAACCAAGCGACGAAAAAAGCGCCGACGTAGGCGGAAACATTAAAAAAATTCATCATCGTCACGTCCATTTTTCTTTTCTTCTAATCTTCTATCTTTTTCTTTCTTTAATGTTTCATCGTGTCAGACGCCCTGAAACAAATAATAATAATAATAATAATAATAATAATAAATTTTTTAAACATTTCCTTCGTATAACTTCGACTTTTTCCTTCGTACAACAACAACAATAATAATAATAATAATAATAATATTCGTTTTGATAAATTATACAATTAATAATATTATTGATGATGTCGTAACAACAACAACAACAACAATAAATAAAATTCAATGTTAAAACATTTTCGTTTGTTATTCCTTTTGTTATTTTTTTAACAATTGCGATAACTTTAGGTTATTAAAAAATTATTATTATTATTATTATTATTAAATATTTAATTGCAAAAATAAATAAATAAATGCCAATCATCCGAAATAATAATAATAATAATAATAGATAGAATTATTCAACCTTGACTATTATTATTATTATTATTAATTATTTACCTAATAAATAAAAAATTTTTTACTTTTTATATTAATAATAATAATAATAATAATAAAATGAATTGTTTAATAATTTGCAATTAAATAAAAAAAAATTTTTTTTTTTTATTATTTCGGTAAAATTATTATAATTAAACTAATTATGTAAAAAAAACTCGACGGATGATAATAATAATAAATGATAATTAATGGTAAAGTCGTTAAAAGAAAAATTACTAAAATTATTATTATTATTATTATTATTGATTTATATTAATTTATTTATTTATTAATAAATTTTTTTATTTTTTTTTCAAAGGTAATAACGTTTGTGTCAAAGGTAAAAAAAGATAAATTTTAAACTTTGCAATTTCAATAATTGCGTTTGTTTTGCGTTTGTCGATGGGTAAAAAAAAATTATTATTATTTTTTGATACAACAACAACCGTGAATATTTATTAAAATTCAACGACGAGTACCTATCAACCTACCAATCTATCAATTTTACCTGAATGAAAAAATACCTTAATAATAATAATAATAATAATGGAAATTTACCGAAATTAGCAAAAAAAAAAAAAAATCAGGGTCGTTAAATGCGTTTGAAAGAGGAAAATGATAATTTATCGAAATTATTGAACCTATTATTATTATTATTATTATTATTATTATTATTATTATTATTATTATTATTATTATTATTATTATTATTATTATTATTATTTATTTTTTGTGTTCGTGTGTTCCTGGTTTTAAAATGGGATAATCGAATGAATATATATTTGTTTTTAAATAGAACGATTAAACGCGATTATTATTATTATTATTATTATTATGGTTTTGTTTCGCATGCATAAAAAAAAAAAAAATTTTCTCTTCAGGGTGCGTTCAGAAATTATGAAAAAAAAAAAAAAAAATTAATTCACGTAATTTTGTAATACAGATTAAAAATTATTATTATTATTATTATTATTATTATTATTATTATTATTATTATTATTATTATTATTATTATTATTACACAAAACAATTAAAGTTCGTTTAAAATAATTTCTAAAAAGGGCCGGGAGTATCTCCCTCTCTCTCTCTTTCTTTCTCTTTCTTTCTCTCTCTTTCTCTCACTTTCTCTCTCTCTCTCTCTTTCTTTCTTTCTCTCTTTCTCTATCTCTCTCTCTACCTCTCTCTCTCTTTCTTTCTTTCTCTCTTTCTCTATCTCTCTCTCTACCTCTCTCTCTCTTTCTCTTTCTCTATCTCTCTCTCTACCTCTCTCTCTCTTTCTCTTTCTCTATCTCTCTCTCTACCTCTCTCTCTCTCTCTCTCTTTCTCTTTCTCTATCTCTCTCTCTACCTCTCTCTCTCTTTCTCTTTCTCTATCTCTCTCTCTACCTCTCTCTCTCTCTCTCTCTTTCTCTTTCTCTATCTCTCTCTCTATCTCTTTCTCTCTCTCTCTCTCTCTCTCTCTCTCTTGCATACATTTAAAATAATAATAATATATATATTTGAAATGACTTATTGTTAATTTTTTTTTTAAGGAGCAACCAAATAATTATTTACAATGACTTGCCTTTAAATCTTATGGGTCAATGGAAAAAATAATAATAATAATAATAATAATAATAATAACATGTGCTACCGTTATATTTAAGTTAAGAAAACCCCTTCCCCCCCCCAAAAAAAAAAATGAAAAAATTTAAATGTTTGCCAACCGAATAATATATTTTTTAAACGATAAATAAATTAAATACAAAAAATTTAATTATTTTCGTTGTAATAATAATAATCATCATCATCATTAATTAAAAAATTAATTAGGTAATTATAAATAAAAATTATTATTATTATTATTATTATTTATTTATTTATTTATTTTAATCATCACGAATATGATGTGTGATAGAAAATCAAAGGTTCAGACGACGACGACGACGACTGTCATTGCTCTCTTTTTTTTTTAATATTTGTATTCTACTCTTGTTATGATAGGGATTGATTGATTGATTGATTGAATGATAAATTTATTTTTTTATTCGAATAACGTTTGAATTTTAATTTTTACGATAACTGAATATTAAATTTTCTATTTTTTTTTTGTGTCGACGTTGATTGAATTCATAAATAAAAATTATGATTTCTTAAATCGGGATTTGAGTTAAAGTTTTCTTAACTAACGAAAAAGTTATGAAAATTTCAAACAAAAAAAAAAAAAAACAATAAATTATAATACTCTTACATAAGATTCCTTTGATATTATTATTATTATTATTATTATTATTATTATTATTATTTCTTATCGATTTGTCATTTGTATGCCTTTTTTTTCCCTTTTTTTTCTTTTGCTAATTTATTTAGGTCAAAAAAAAAAACGGTTATGTAAAATTATAAAAAAAAAAGAATAATGATAATAATAATGAAAACGATTAACAATAATAATAATAATAATAATAATAATATTAAAAAAAAATTATTTATGAAATTGTAAAACACACACACATACACACAAAATTAGAAAAACTTAAAAAACTTAACCGAATTCACAATTTCTCCCGTTTGTTGTTGTGGTTGTTGTTTGTTTCTCACACGAAAAATTATTATTATTATTATTAATTAAATTCGATCATTTTATTTCGGATTATTTTGATGACGAAAAATCATTCATTTATTATTTTTATCACTCACTCGACACTCACTCGCGCACGATTATCATTATCATTATTATTATTAGTAGTAGTAGTATTATTTCTTATCCCCCCAGAATAATCAAATACATAAAAAAACGACACAACAAAAACGAGTTCGAAAATTTTATTTTATTTAAAGTGAAAAAAATTTCGATTGAATCTTAAACCGGTGGTGGGTACCCTCAAGGGCATCTGCTTCACATGAATCTTACGTATATAAAGATTAATTAATATTTTCTCTCTCTCTCTCTTTCTCTCTCTCTCTCTCCCCCCCTCTCTCTCTCTTTCTCTCTTTTTTTTTTAATTAAAATTTTTTAATCATTGTATTATTCCAGATAGCAGCAGACGACGTATTGTTTCAAAAAAAATTTTTACCGAAGGAACGCTAAATCGAATCGTATCGAAATATTGATTTTATTCTAATCGCCATTTTTATTATTATTATTATTATTATTATTTTTACTCATTTGATAAAGTCCATAAGAAAAATTTAATAATAATAATAATAATAATAATAATAAAGAGACATCGTTAGATACTTAAAAAAAGGGGGATCATTGTCGATATATCGTATCTGGTTTTTTATCATCGACATTTTTTTTTTCTTTAACATTCCAGTAAATAATAATAATAATAATAATAATAATAATGATAATAATAATAATGATAATAATAATAATAATAGAAATGATAAGTTAATTCATCTTGTTACAAAAAAAAAAAAAAGAAAACGTTTGGATTTTAAAAATTGTACGAGGAGGAGGAGGAGATGATGGATGATATTTATTAACATATTACGTAACTCATATTAAACCCCCCCCACATTATTCCCCCCCTTCCCAGACGTTTAAAATCATTTTTCTTTCTTGTATTCTAAAGACGTAACAACTAATTTTTAGTCAAAAAAAAAAAAATTCATTCTTTTATTCAATGGTTGATAATAATAATAGAAAAAAAAAAAAACTAATGTAACGGTTGTTACATTAGGTTGTTAGGCCCCCCCCCCAAAAAAATGAATTTCTTTTTTTTTTTTTGTTTCAAAACATTGTGTTACCGTACATAAGGTTCGAAAAGAAATTTTATTTAAATGGAAACGAATCGTTTAATTTATTTCCGATCATTTTACGTCCCCGTGACGTCAAAATTAACCTGATAACCTCGACAATTGCCAACATCCCCCAAATATAAAAAAATTTTTTCCCGATTTTATGTGGGTCAAAATCACACTAACTGACGTCATCAAATTTATGGGATGGAAATAATCACAAAACGACGACGATTTACATACAATTTAAAAAAAAAAATACTGTTTGTTCATTTGTACCTGAAAAAAAACCTTGAACTTAAAAAAAAAAAACTTTTCGCTTTTTTGTAAGATTTTTTTCGAACCTGATTAATAAATTTCACGGTTACTTCCACTTTATTTTATCATATTAACCTTGTTTTTAATTAATTTTTTTCTTTCCTTTTCTCTTCCTTTTTTTTTTTAAATAAAAATAACGTTTTACTATTTCATTGAAAAAAAAAAAAAATTGATACCTATGACGTCATTTGAAATATGTCAACAATTTTTTTTTTTTTTTTTTTTGTATTACTTCTCAATGAAAATCTTTTTTCTTTATTCCTCTTTTACTCTTAGATAATTTTCTATCTCTTTCTAATTGAAATCAATTTACGTAAAATGAACGAATTGTTTTCAAATATTTAACGAAAAAATTTACAAATTCATTTTCCCTCGATTTATGTATCCGTTATTAATTTGATTCAAAAAAAAAAAAAAAAAAAGTTTCAAAACTTTCTATCGCATTTGTGAGTTACTTTTACAACGATGACAATGTTACTTTCAAAACAATA